CCATGCGGCCGCACCTCAACGAACATGCGGCTGGCAGATTTCCGGGCCTTCCGCTGGTCCCACAAGCGTACTTGGCTGAACACAGCTTGCCGCAATGCTCGGTCTGCCAGCGGTACCTCCACTCCCGCTACGGGCAAGTGTGCCCGAGGTGCCGCCCCGCTGCGCGAGCTGCCGCTGCCGAGGCCACGCCCGCAGCTGACGACGGCGCCCCACGGCCGCGCGGCTTGCCCACCTGGAAGGACGTGTTTTCTCGACGAGCGAGCACAAAACACTACGTGCCGAAGGAGGCGCGGATCCTCTGGGCCCGCTGCTTGCGCAGGCGGCGGCGCTTGCCGTGCACCAAAAGACAGAGGAGGCGTGGCTCCAGCTCGCCATGCTGCCCAACTGCGTCCTCCGCCCACGCGCGCGGGGGCCGTGGTAGCAGGAACGCAGCGGAAGCCCTGACCAAAAACCTTTGCCAGCGCTGGTTGGAGGGAGAGCGCGCTTCGCTTTGGGCGGAGACAGCGGACCGGCGAGACACCGCGAAACCCTCCCGAGAGGGCTAGAGCGCATCGCTGCCTGGAGGTCGCGGCGGGCGCGCGGAACTCCCAAAGCTGTTCGGCACCCACCAGCGAGCCTCCAGCGGAGGTCACCAAGGCAAATCTGGAACATATGCGCCAGAAACACCCGCGCAGTCAGCAACCAGTGGACGCCGCCCGCCTCCCTGCTGTCAACGTGGCGGCGGCGCCGCAGCTAGACGCCGCTTCGCTCGAGCGCGAGGTGCGGGCCTTCCCTTGGGGCTCCGCCCCAGGCCCCTCTGGCTTGCGCCCGCGGCACTTCAAGGACACGATGCCGACGGCGGCCCACCGCGACGAGGTGCTACAGCAGCTGCTTGCCCTCGCCAGCCTCCTCGCGAAGGGCCAGGCGCCCAGTGGCGTGGCGGACTACCTGGCTCCCGCCTCGCTGGCGGCCGTGCCCAGGAAGGACGGCGGCCTCCGACCAGTGGCCGTGGGGGAAACTGTGCGGCGCCTGGTGGCGAAATGGTTGCAACCAGGTAGCCGACGCCGCTCGAGACCGCCTTGCCCCTTTGCAGGTGGGCGTTGCCCTCCCAGGCGACTGCGATGCGGCGGTTCACGCGTCGAGACAATGGTTCGCGCGCCACGCAGGCAGCAGGCAGAAGTTGTTTCTTAATTAAGCTTGACTTGAGCTATGCCTTCAACTCCCTCGACCGCCAAGCCCTCCTGCAAGCTACGCGCGAGGAGCTGCCCGCTCTTGCGCCCTCGGCTTCTTGGTGCTACCGGGCACCTTCTTGATTCTGGCTCGGCCGCCATTCGATCCACTCGGAACGCGGCGTGCAACAAGGGGACCCCCTGAGGCCGCTGCTTTTCTCCTTGGCGCTGCAGCGCGCTGCGGAGAGCGCCGTCCGCCAGCCCGCCCCCGCGGCCGAGGGCACCTTGGGCCTGGCTTTCTTCTTCCTCGACGACGGCACCCTGGCGGGCGACTTGTGCGCCGTGGCACGCCTTCTCCACCTGCTGGTAGGAGAGCTGGCAGCCGTGGGGCTTCGCCTAAGCACGGGGCCTGGGAAGTGCGAGGTGGTTCCCGCTGGCGGCGGCGACAGCGAGGTGGACCTGCGGGCCCCCTCCCCCCCCCCGGCCTTCGGCCTGCGCGCGGACGGCTGCTTCGGACTCCTCGGCGTCCCAGTCGGCAGCGACGGTTTCTGCCGCGAGCGCACCTGGGAGCGAGTCGACAAGGCCGCCGAGCTCCTCGAAGCACCCGGGGAACTCGAGAACGCTCAGGTTGCGATCCACTTGCTGCGACAATTTGTTTGTTTCTGCAGGCCCAGCTGTTCGGCGCGGGTGGCCCCGCCCACCCTGCGCGCGGTAGCGCTGCTTGCCCTCGACAGCGCAGTGCGCGCCAGCCTCGAGCAACTGGCGAGCAGCGCCCCCGCGGACGACTCCTGGGCGCAGGCGCAGCTCGCCCTCGAAGCAGGCGGCCCGGGGCTGCGCTCGGCGGAGCGGCGCGCGCTGGCCGCCTACCTGGCTTCCCGCGCGGTCTGCTCTGCGCTTTGCCACCTGCTCCGGGCGGGCTACCCCGACGACGACACAGGCGCCGACGGCGCTCTGGGCGCGGCCGCGATTTCTTTTGACGCCCAGCTCGCGCAGGCGGGCAGGATGGAGTTCGACGCCAGACAGCAGCGCTGGCTGATCACTAGCGACCAGCGGGGCCTCCCTGACAAACTGGGCAAAACCGCCAAGGCCGAGCTCTGGGAGCGCGCCAGTTTGGTCACCAGGGCCCACCTCTCGCTGGTGAGCGCGGAGGGCGCCTGCGGCTGGCTACAGGCGCGGCCCCGCGCCGAGGTCGGCGCGGCCTTCCCGCGCGGCTTGATGCAGATCGCTCTGCAGAGGCGCTTGCGGGTGCAGCTTGTGAGCGGGGAGGCTTTTTGCCCGGCCTGCGACGGCGTCGTGGACGTCTACGGGGTTCGCGCTTTGGTGTGTCCCTGCCGCGGGGGCCGACTCAAGCGGCGCAGCGCGCTCCGCGACGAAGCCTTGTTCGCCGCGCCGGCAGCCGGCTTCCCTGGCGCCGAGCTCGAGCGGCCGGGCTTGCTGCAGCCCCGCGAGCGAGGGGGGGGACCCGCCGGGGGCGGAGGCCGACGGCGGCGAGCTTGACGAGAGAGGCCGGCGCCCAGCGGATGTGTACGTCCCCCGCTGGCGCAACGGCGTCCCAGCTGCGCGTGACTTCGTGGCCACCTCTGGGCTGCGGGGCGACCTCCTTGCAGCCTCGGCAGCTGCGCTGGGCGCCGCCGCCGAGCGCTGCGAGGAACAGAAGCGCCAGTTCCTCGACGCGGCGCGCAGCTGCAGCGCGTCCGGCGTCGCCTTCATCGCCATGGTGATGGGGGCGCACGGCGGCGCCTGGGGCAAGGGGGCTCGCCGCGCGCTCGCCGTCCCAGCGAAGCGCGTGGCTGGCGCCGCAGGTGAGGGCCCCGCCCTCGCGGCGGCGGAGCACGCCCAGCGACTCTCGCTACTCCTGCACAAGGAGAACGCGCGTGCCGTGCTCCGCCGGCTGCAGGCCCCAGACAGGGCGCCGGCAGCCCGGCTGGCCGCGGCGACGGCGGCGCGGGCGGCAGACGACGCGTGGGCCGCCAGCTGGCGACCGCCGCCCCCGCCCCCCGCCTCCTGCCCCAGGCCGACGCTGGCCACCCCGCCGCCATCGCCGCCCTAGCCCGCGCCTGGCCGCCAGCGACGACCGCCGCCCCCGCCCCGAGCCCCCGCGCTTGGCCGACGACGACGACAAGCTCACCGCCTCCGACGATTTCCCTGCCGCCGCCAATGCACCCGTCCCCCGCGCCTCCACCGACGACGACCGCCCTGCTGCCGCTACCCGCGCCGACGACGACCGTGACCGCCGCCGACGCCGCCCCCCGCCCCCCGCCCCTCCCGCGTCGGCCTGCCTGCGTGCTTGCTTGCTTGCTGCTTCCTCTCCTCCTGCTGCTTCTGCTGCTGCTCCTCCTCCTCCCTCCTTGTGCCCGGCGTCTGACGGCGTCCTTCGGCTGGTTGGCCGTGCATGGCTCTCTCCAGTTTTGCGCGCGGCCCGCGTGGAGCGTGCGGATTTACTATCAGGCTATCAGGGGCGTGTCGCCCGTCTGTCGGCGAGGTTTCGCGGATTCCAGGTCGAGGCTTCTCGCCTTGTCCGTCGCGTGCCCCCTGCGCCGGACGCGTTCGCGCCGTGACAGGACATCACGAGGCCGAAGAGAAGGAAACGTTCCGGGATTCAACAGGTCCATGCGCTCGATGTTTGGGTAGCCCCTAAGGTCCGACGTCGCGAGCAACTACAGAGCGATCACGGCCAGAAGCCTGCACCCGAACTCGATGCGGCACTTCTCGAGCCTGATCGAATTGTGAGGGCCCAGGGGGCCCGACACCTGGCGAAAACGCCTTAGGTCCTGGTTCCTGGTTCCTCCCTCGTTGCGGGCTCAACGACTTCTGCCGTCCCTCAATTCGCGCTGGAGCGACCGCGATTTGCCCAACATGTCCCTGGAGATCTCTGGATAGATCTGCGGCTGCTTTGATTTACTTGGACTTACCTCGTTTTACCTGCGTCAACCTGGATTTCTCTGACTCGATCCCCACAAGTCGATTGGCAGAAAGTCGTCAAGGTCTCAGGGACCCCCCTTTCTCCCAGCGCGTCGCCTCGTGGCGCACTCCACGAAGGGCCTCGCCTTCGGCGCCGGCGGGCGGCGGGCGGGGGTCCGCCCGCCGCGGAAGGTCGGCGGAAGGCGGCGGAAGTAAGATGTGAGGAGCCAACAGGCTTCGAGCAGAGGATCGACTACATAATTGTTTTGCCCCAGAGATGGTGTTCTCGTCGAGCCCACGTAGAAAGTCAGCATATCTACAGAGCACTGTGCGTCGGTTTCGTAGAGATCGACGGGCAATCAATCTTGGGCAAAATCGATTCTGCAGCCGATCCCCCTCCCGAGTGCTTGGATGCAGGGTTGCTGGTGTCGGCCTCCCAGCTTCGAGAGCGGGGCCCGCACCGAGGCAACTCAGGGTGGGCGCCGACTCTGTGCGCCCGCCCACCTGGGCCGTCCTGGGGAGCGGAGAGAGCGCTTCGGGAGCTTGCCCGACAGGGCTCATGGCACCGTTCGCTCTTGGGAGCTTTGGCGGTAAGAGCTTTTCCACGTCACCGTTCGCTCTTTGGAGCCTTGGTTTGAAGAGCTTTTTGTCATCGCTCGCTCTTGGATACCTTGGCGTCGAGAGCATTTTGCGTCACCGTGCGCTTTTGGGAGCCTTGGTGTGGAGAGTTGTTTGCGTCACCGTTCGCTCTTGGGGGCCTGGGAGATAGTTGTTCTCTCTTGGGGGCCTTGGCGTTAAGAGCTTTCCGCGTCACAGATCGCTCTTGGGACCCTTGGCGTTCAAAGCCTCTTACGTCACCGACTCATGTAAAAAAGGTTTTCCGGTCACCTGGTGCTCATGGGGAGCCTTGGCATCAAAGCTGCGTCCGTCATTGGGCCGTCCCGGGCGGAGTCCTCTTGAGGCCATTTTGGGGGTCTTGGGGCCCTCTTGGGTCATGGGGCCCTCTTGGGCCGTCTTGGGGGCTTGGCCCGTCTTTGGGGGAGGGCGGCCGTGTTACCCAGGCCCGGGCCCGCTTCCCCCTTCCCCTGGAACCCCTTCTTCGAGGGTTTCGCCTCAACGGAACGTCATCACTCGTACCTCGCTCTTCGGCGGAAGGAGGCGGAAGGCGGCGGAAGTAATTGGTGAGAAGTCAACATGCTTGGATGCAGGGCTTCCGGTGTCGGCCTCCTGGCCTCGAAAGTGTGGCCCGCACCGAACCAATTCAGGAACGAGTGTTGCTTATGTGCGTCTGTCAATCCCGCGGAACTTCTGCCAACAAGTCACTGGGGATAAAAGTCAAGACGCTAAAGTAAGGACCACTGTGGGTTCGGGAGGGGCTCTGGTTTTCGGGTCATGCAGTGTTCCGTGGGGCAGCATGGTGACTGTAACTATGGTCACCCCCATAGTGGGCTGGGCCCGAACGTTGCAAGCAGGGGATTTGCGCTGCCACCACAGTGCCCCACCCCTCCAAGAAGAAGCACTTGCATGGACATTCGCCGTGCATGGAGAGTCAGCGGAGTCCGTCTGGTTTCCAGAGTGTGCAGGACACTCTGAGGGGAGCCCAGGCTTGGAGCAACCGTCAGTCAGCCCGACCTTGACGTGCGTTGCCGATCACTTACCAGACGAGCGTGGAGCTGACCTGCCCGTGCTTCCGTAGGCGTTCGTTTCTCGGGAAGCAGAGGTTTAGGTTTATGCCGCTTCTTCTCCCGCTAAAACTCAAGGCTGCGCCCGTGCGAGCTTTCCTCCCCGCCCCCTCTCCCCGCCCCCAGTCGCTGACGGCGGAGCTCCGTGGCATGGCGCATCCGCAGCTGGGCTCCCGTGCCCCAGGTGGTAGTCCCGGCCGTCCACTGTCGTCGCCGCCGCTTCGATCGATCGGTCGTCGTCGTCGCCGCCGCGGACGTCGTGGTCGTTTTCCGCCGTGGTCGTGCTCGTGACGCCGTGGTCGCGGTCGTGGTCGTGGTCGCGGTCGTGGTCGTGGTCGTGGTCGTGGTCGTGGTCGTCGTCGTCGTCGCCGCCGCCGCCGCCGTCGTCGTCGCCGTCGTCGTCGTCGTCGTCGTCGTCGTCGTCGTCGTCGTCGTCGTCGTCGTCGTCGCCGTCGTCGTCGAAGAAGGCCGAGCGATCGATCGAGGTCCAGGGAACCAGGATCTTTTTCGCATTCTTGGGCATCCCAGGTGCAGCTTCTTGCCCCGGGGGTGCCCGCAGGTATACGTCTGGGACGGCAGTCTGCCCCGTGGGGAGGAGGAGGAGGAGGAGGAGGAGGAGGAGGAGGAGGAGGAGGAGGAGGAGGAGGAGGAGGAGGAGGACCAGTGTAAACCCAAGAGTCATCAACGATGTTGGAATTAACCCCTCCTCCAAGCTCCCTCTTCATAAGCCCCCACAACGGTTCATTTCCATGGAGGGAACTGCCTCGTTGGAAGGCAACCGTTTGTAGATCCCAAAGCATGCCAAAACAGCACGTTGATCATGGGAATCCGTGAAACTCTTGCACATCTTTAAAGCGAATGTGCGCGGCGCTAAGACGAGAGCCATACTTTGAAAGCGGGTGATCCTCAATCCGTGAAGCGCTTGCAATTTTTGAGAACGAATGTGCGCGGCGCTAAGGCGAGAGCCCTCAATCCGTGAAGCCCTTGCAAACTTTGAGAACAAATGTGCGCGGCGCCGAGGCGAGAGCCGCATATTGAAACGGAACCACGCTCAATCCGTGAAACGCTTGCAATTTTTGAGAACGAATGTGCGCGGCGCTGAGGCGAGAGCCACATTTTGAAAACCACCCGCCGTCCATCTGTGAAACGGTTGTCACTTTGAAAGCCTCAGAGTCATAACTGGTGAGGAAATCTCAGGCGAAACGACCCGCCTTCAATCCGTAAAATTCATTGCAAATCTTGGGTGCGAATGTGCGCGACGCTAAGGCGGGAGCCACAGTTTGAAAATTATCAGCCCTCAATCCGTGAAGCTCTTGCACATTTTGAGAACGAATGTGCGCGGCGCTGAGGCGAGAGCCACATGTTGAAAACGACCCGCCCTCAATCCGCGAAGCTCTTTTTGTTAATCCCAGCCCTCCTTGGTTGGGTATTCGTTTTGAATGGAGCGCTGCGGTCTCCAGTCCTTCTCCGCCTCCTTCTCCTCCTCCTCCCGCCTCCTCCCGCCTCCTCCTGCCCTCTCTTCGCCGTCGCTGGGGGGCTGCGATCTGCGACACCGTCGCCACTTTCGAGGGCTGCTGGTGGGTCCTGCGGAGTGAGGCACCGCGGGGATCTGAGCATGACCTCGCCGTCCCTGGGGGGCTGCGATCTGCAACACCGTCGCCACTTTCGAGGGCTGCTGGTGGGTCCTGCGGAGTGAGGCACCGCGGGGATCTGAGCATGACCTCGCCGTCCCTGGGGGGCTGCGATCTGCGACACCGTCGCCACTTTCCAGGGCTGCTGGTGGGTCCTGCGGGGTGAAGCATCTCGGGGATCTGAGCGAGACCTCGCCGTCCCTGGGGGGGCTGCGATCTGCGAAAGTGTCGCCACTTTCGAGGGCTGCTGGTGGGTCCTGCGGAGTGGGGCACCGCGGGGGTCTGAGTGGGACCTCGCCGTCCCTGAGGCGCTGCGATCTGCGACACCGTCGCCACCCTCGATGGCTGCTGGTGGGTCCTGCGGGGTGAGGCACCGCGGGGGTCTGAGCGGGACCTCGCCGTCCTTGGGGGCTGTGATCTGCGACACCGTCGCCACTTTCGATGGCTGCTGGTGGGTCCTGCGGGGTGAGGCACCGCGGGGAGCTGAGCGGGACATCGCCGTCCCTGGGGGGCTGCGATCTGCGACAGTGTCGCCACTTTCGAGGGCTGCTGGTGGGTCCTGCGGAGTGGGGCACCGCGGGGATCTGAGCATGACCTCGCCGTCCCTGGGGGGCTGCGATCTGCAACACCGTCGCCACTTTCGAGGGCTGCTGGTGGGTCCTGCGGAGTGAGGCACCGCGGGGATCCGAGCGGGACCTCGCCGTCCCTGGGGGGCTGCGATCTGCGACACCGTCGCCACTTTCGAGGGCTGCTGGTGGGCCCTGCGGAGTGAAGCTCCGCGGAGATCCGAGCGGGACCTCGCCGTCTTTTGGGGGCTGCGATCTGCGACAGAGTCGCCACTTTCGAGGGCTGCTGGTGGGTCCTGCGGAGTGAGGCACCGCGGGGATCCGAGCGGGACCCCGCCGTCCCTGGGAGGCTGCGATCTGCGACACGGTCGCCATTTTCGATGGCTGCTGGTGGGTCGTGCGGAGTGAGGTACCGCGGGGATCTGAGCGGGACCTCGCCGTCCCTGGGGGGCTGCGATCTGCGAAAGTGTCGCCACTTTCGAGGGCTGCTGGTGGGCCCTGCGGAGTGAGGCACCGCGGGGATCTGACCGAGACCTCGCCGTCCTTGGGGGGGGGGGCTCTCGAGAGCTGCTGCGGGATACGTTGGGTGCAGCCGGCGCATGGCACAACCGCCGGGGGTGATTTGTTATTTCATCGCCCTTAGATCTTGATCGGGGGCATGCGAGCCTTCCGATTGCTGCTCGCAAAATCACATGCGTCCATGTTACGCCATCGCCCCCGTTGCCGCACTCCTGATGTGTTTATGCCCCGCATTGCGCAAGGGTTGGGTCCGTCGCCTGGGTAGCTATGTTTATATTCATATTCACACATATATATATATATATATATACATATACATATACATACATACATACATATATATATATATATATATGTATACGCACACAAAAACGAAGGTGCACGGCGCTAAGGCGAGAGCCACATTTTGAAAACCACACGCCCTCCATCGGTGAAGTTGTTGCCACTTTCTCAGCTTCAGAGTTATAAATGCTGATGAAGCCTCAGGCAGGCGAACCGCCCAGCCCGCCCTAAAAACTGGCCTCTGGGTGCGGCAGGGAGAAGCTATCTACAAGGAGGAGGAACGCAGGAGGAGGATGAGGAGAAGGAGGAGGAGGATGAGGAATACTACTAATACCACTACGAAGAATACGAAGAAGCAGACGAGGACGAGGAGGAGGAGGAGGAGGAGGAGGCGGAGGCGGAGGCGGAGGCGCAGGCGGAGGCGGAGGCGGAGGCGGAGGCGGAGGAGGAGGAGGAGGAAAAGGAGGAGGAGGATGCGGATGATGATGATGATGCTGATGATGATGATGATGATGATGATGATGATGCTGATGATGATGATGATGATGATGATGATGATGCTGATGCTGATGCTGATGATGATGATGATGATGAGGAGGAGGAGGAGGAGGATGATGATGATGATGATGGATGATGATGATGGATGATGATGCTGCTGCTGCTGATGATGATGATGATGATGGTGCTGATGATGATGATGATGATGATGATGATGATGATGATGATGATGGTGGTGGTGGTGATGATGTGCTGATGATGATGATGATGATGATGATGATGATGATGATGAGGAGGACGAGGAGGAGGAGGCGGAGGAGGAGGAGGAGGAGGAGGAGGAGGAGGAGGAGGAGGAGGAGGAGGAGGAAGAAGAATAAGAAGAAGAAGAAGAAGCAGAAGAAGAAGAAGAATAATACGAAGAAGACGAATAATAAAAATAATAATAATAATAATAATAATAAGAAAAAGAAGAAGAATAATAATAATAAGAAGAAGAAGCAGAAGAATAAGAATAATAATAAGAATAATAATAATAAGAATAATAATAAGACGAATACGAAGAATAATAAGACGAATAATACTAATAATAAGAAGAAGAATAAGAATAAGAGGAATAATAAGAATAATACGACTAATACGAATAAAACGAAGAATAATAATAATAATAAGACGAATAAGAAGAATACTACGAATAAGAAGAATACTAAGAATACTAGTAAGAAAAATAATACGAAGAATAAGAGGAGGAGGAGGAGGAGGAGGAGGAGGAGGAG